AAGGAAGAAAGATGAGTGATATTCAAGTGCCTAAAAAATGTATTGTGCTTAGTAAAAAAAATTAGTTTGCCTTTATCCTACTGAAGTACAAAAAGACTTTGGCCCCGAAATCATGAACATTAAAATGATAAAATGTGGCAGGAAAGATAACACTTACATAATTACGTTTGTACGTTTACTGATTTTTGTCACCGATTTACCATCGATAACCAACCAAGCAGCTTATGGAAAATCAAACGAATAGTTAACATTTTTCTTAAATTCAGTCATCGTCGATCTAAATAACTCGTTCAAGTGAAACCGTTGAAACCAGCCACAACAAAAAATATAACATGACAAAAGAGATTCCTAGACATAAAGTCGTTGATAATTATGTATTCCTGTGCACTTTTATGAGAGCTAACACAGCCCAGAAAATGGCTTATTCGGTGGGCCCAACACTACTTTAATCAGCTTTCATCGCAGTGTAGGTGGAAACCGGAGTCCGGGTAGATCATTGATCGAGATGCAGGTTCTCTTCGATTACCTTGTCTACATCACGTCATAGGTATAACTGCAGCTAAAGCAAGGAAAGGTTTGTGTATGTTTTGTTACATATGGATGACTAAAATGCCTTAATACTAGATAATACCACGCCTCGAGAAAGATTGCAGCCAGCTGCAGATAGAAAAGTGAACAAAAGTCTGATAAAAGACGGTTTCTTTAAATTCAAGCGATAACCTATAAAGCTTTCCTGCAAGAAAAATCCAATCTTTAGTAGACTTAGAGTAAATCAGAATTAATTGCTTGTTGAACTAATACTGCAGGAAAACCTACCTCGGGCGGCCTCTCCTACTAGGAACACAAGACTAGAAGACGCCAAACTTTGTTCAAGGAGTGCAAGAATGTCTGTCAAAGAAGTTAGCACTTTATGAGCTCTGAATGCTGCTTAGGTTAGGTATACAGCTATTTGGAGAAAGGTTGTCGGAAAAGTGCACGCCACAATCCCGAAAGGTATTGTGGGTGGTTTTGAGTTCACTGTTCTTCAAAGAAATTTGAAAGAATGGCACGAGAGGCCATGGACATGTGCTTGAGAGTGCTAAAGGAAAGTAACATAGAAGATTCGACAGCTACAGTGTCAGGAACAGCGTATTGATCATATCCCATATTACCTTTCGGGATTGTCGCAGGTACATTTTTTCCGACAACCTTTCTTGAAATAGCTGTAAATGTCAAGCGCGCAATTGTTTTTCTCTGATTTCTTTAAACTCTTCTGACACAGAACTCAAACACGTGCTTTCAAGGATCGCCTGGCCTCCCTGGACGTAACGGAGTCAATGGACATAACGGGTTACCAGGCCACGAAGGCCAAGATGGTGCTAAAGGTGAAAACTGCGTGATGGGTCCCCCTGGACCAGGCCGTGAGAAAGGAGAAATGGGACCACGTGGAACAGCCACTGATCACAGAAACTGGAAACAGTGCACGTGGAAGTACAGCGACGGTCGTGACACATGTTAAAGATCAGAAGACCTGTTTACAAGCGATTATTCAAATCGCGTGCTATGTGCTACCAAAAGGGCGATGTTAACCAAACGTGTCAAAAAGTCAGTCGGTTCTGGCTTGCATCAGAATCTGAGTGCACAGCGGGTGCCGTGGAACAGCGATCCCATAGTTTGTCTACAGGCTCTTCCCCTTTCTATTCCCCGGCGAGTTTTTCACCCTTTCCCCAATGAGAGAGCCTGAGTCTTAGGCTAGCAAATTAAACAGTAATGCGTTCGACTGGGCTCATATGAATAAGCCGTACTTACATTCGTACATCAAAATATTTGCTCAAGACTAGTCGAGGTCACTTCTGTGAATATCTGTTCGTACATCATGCTCACAGTGCAAATATTTAATTACACAACTGTATTGTATTTCTATAATATCATTGACACTTGTATTAAATAAAGCAAACAAAGTCAAAATATGGCAGATTTATCGGCTGATTATGATCACAAACAAGAAAAAATTCGCAGTAATAAATTCACCGAAATGCTACTTGGCCTTTGTTTTTCATCGTAGTTCAGTTGTCCAAAAAAAACCTTTTTAACTCAGTTTTCTATCCATTTCATTTTCTCGCGATAACTGAAGGCTATCTATTTCATGTTTCATGGAGGCGTTCACGAACTGCGACAGTAGCCCATAACTGACTGCGAACATTATTTGTAACCGCTGTAGTCACTCTTCAATAAGGTAAGTCAACAATCGACACTGTGATTAATAGTTCGATTACAGACGAGTGTAGTGAGATCAATCCTGCAGTGTATTCAAATCATGCTTCAGTACGGTGTATTGATAAATTGTATTGACAGGAATGCTTTTCTGCTCACTTTCCCTCTAACAAATGACGTGCTGATATCATCGAGACAGCTAGACTTAATCGACAGATTTCATAGAAGAAACATCGCGTTTGAGTCACAACTTCCACAACGGGAGCCGCCTTCGTTAATTCCTACAGTGCCAAAATCATGAGTGTTAATAAGCGCGTACAGCTCGAAAACTGAACTTAGGAAAATTAAGGAATCGATTCATAGGCCACTTGTATCTCTCAATTCAACAGCTGTTGTCCAGAGAGTGGAGTATGATGATTTGAAACTGCTCCTGAAAGATTCAGCGTCCGTTTAAAATTTATGCACTGATTTGCTCGTTTATATGTCGTCGATCATTCCAAGACAGAATTTGAGGTACTGAATATTATCCAATGAGCAGGGTGTCTAGGATCGAATCCAATTGAAAACCGCGCAAAAGATGTGTTTGTTATCACCAGAATTCTTCTGGTCGAGGCATGGGTCTTGATAAAAATTACCATACTTAGTATATATGTTACAGGTCAAAATTAAAATCAGGTTAAAATTTTTTTGCCTAGGTTGATTCTCACTTTCTTTTGTCTCCCAGCCCTAATTCACGAATAATTAGGAGTAGGAGACAAAGAAATTGAGAGCCAACCTAGTTTAAACAATTTAACCTGAATTTTATTTTGATCTGTAACATATATAACAAGCTGCTTATATATAACGATAGAAAAGAGACTTGAACTCTGACTGATGAGGAAAAATCGCTCAAAATCTATTTATAATTAATATCTAATGGTTCCTTAGAGCTCTTGGAGAATGAGGTGATGTATTTGTTTTTCAATGGTCATTCTGTGCAATAACGATCTATCTGTTTGTGTTGCTTCGATTATTAACAATTTCCCCAGAAGCAACATTCCTTTGAATAGATCAAAACGCTGAGAAACAGGACCACAATGTTGAAGTTCATTTTTTATTTAGCGTGTGCTTTGCAGTCCGCAATAGTTACATGCTTGGCGCAAGCATCCGTGACTTGAGGCCTCGGAAATTGATCCACGAAGAAAGATTATTGCCCAAATCAACGATAAGAAAAAATAACGTTCACTTTCGGCCAGTTTTGATTACCTTTTTGAGAAAACATGATTGTATCCATTTCATGACAAAAACTCTATTTGGGAGCTAGACTTCACTTTCTGCGCTCAGGAAAAGTTAAACTTATCAATACTGAAATAACTTAAGGTTGAAAGAGGAAAAAATTGTTTACCTATTCGTAAGCCCCCGCTGGTCACTCATTCAGCCGCACTTTTAGCAACTCTGCCAGTATTAAAACAGTCTAAAGTTGTAAGAATGCTCCTCTTGTTTTTTTCATTTGCCTGAACGGAAGCTTCAAAGCCATGAAGCAATAAGGATCTGCGATATATCGCAAATAATAATATACAGGGCCTCTTTTTTAAGTATATTTTCAACAGACAGTGAAATGGCACTGTTTGAAGTACAATAGCAAATTATACTGTCACGGCTTTCATAAGTAAAGAAAGCTCCCTAAAACACCTTACCAAAATCAAATGTTGGAAAATTTGGGTTTACCTTAATGAATTGTTCAAGTCCTTGCTCAAGTTTAAACGTTTATTATCAATTTTACTCTGGTGACAAAGAGAAAAAACCTGCTCAAGAGCTTGAATTACGTGGAATACTACGTTGTTCAAGGTCAGTAAACGTGGCAGTCGGTCAGCACATGCCATTGTGTTCACACAACAAGAAAAATTTCGTTACAATTAATTCAAAAAGTGAACTTTTATCCTTCGTCTCCAACTTCACACAAAACAGAACACTACAAGACTTGTGCAGTTGGAGTTCAACGCACGCTTTCCTCAGTTCGTAACTTGTTTTGCGTTTTTCTTGTACCCTCAAGATGAAAGAAGGAAATCTATTTGTTTGGTGTCTACTTTTTCTGTCGGTGTCGTCCACCGCTCTCGCTAAGGTAAGATAAATCAGCGCACAGAATTGACTTTTCTTAAACTATGCAAAAAAGAGCGAAGAACGAATCTGATTGAAAGACGGTTTAAGTTGTTGAGTCTGTTAGTCATTAAGGCTTACAAAAATTAGCGGCGAGATTTTTCCATGCATCAGCGTAAGTGGTAACGAAAATTTCATATTTGAAATACTTTTGAGATTAGGGCTACGTGTCAAGCTTTTATTTTCTAAAAATGCATATTTTTAAAATACAGTTTGAAACCACAGCTTCCAAATTATAATTGGCACTCCTGTCTTCCCCTCAAAGAACGACATTGGGTCAATCAAGTCTGTCCACGAGAGGATTTTTTACAAAACGCACATCTCTTGTGCTAATGTCACTTCTTCGAGAGAGAACAAGAGTGAATGATGGCTCTAAGAATCTATAAAAGGCAGATGATTGGCTGAGCTTCTTCCATACTTAATGTCAATCATTTATTACTGACCTGAACCCAAATTTTGCTCAAAAGTGCGAGGTACGAGTGCGTATACTATTATTTTTAAACATTTGTATAACTTAGAACTCAAGCACGTGCTTGCAAGGATCACCTGGCCTCCCCGGACGTAACGGAGTCAATGGACATAACGGGTCACCAGGCCGCGACGGCCGAGATGGTGCTAAAGGTGAAAAGGGCGTGGCAGGTACACCAGGATCACGTGGTGCGAAGGGAGAAATGGGAGCAAGTGGAACAGACACTGATCACAGGAACTGGAAACAGTGCGCGTGGAAGAACAACGACGGTCGTGATATTGGACTGATCAAGGCTTGTTAATTTATCTGTGATCAAAGCTATAGTTCAGTTAGCATAACAAGTAATCGTCATATAAAAATATCATCCCAGCCTTTGTGCTTCACCTGCCTTTGGCCTAGGTCAATCAATCGGGAAAATAATATTGAAGCCCTTGTAATTTTTAAAAAGATCCAATTTGCCCTAGGAGCACCGAACAGATACGAATCTTATAGCGGAGCTAAAAAAAATGAGCGGCAGTGGAAAAGTGAAAAAGAACATGTACCACATTTTCTCCATAAAAAGTGAAAACCAGGAAGTTTTCTGGACGTTTCACGTTGCAGTCATGCAAATCAACGGCAAGGAAATGTACAAGAAAGTTTGCTGCAATTAGACCTATTGTTGTTTTTCACAGTTCTGGTCAAGGGCATCCAACTTTTAATTTTTCACATTTCACTCTCCGGGTTAGGCTATTTTTCGTAGAGAGTAAAATGGAATCCTAAAATTTTCGGATTCAAAAATGTGATGAAAGAAGGTATCTGAAAAATTATCTCCTTCGTAATACGTTAAATTGCATCTAAAATTTTCGGGAAAATATAAATTCTGAATTCCTCGTAATTTCGAAAAGACTCAAGTTCCTCTACAATGGCCGAACACTGAGATGCAAATTTTATAGCGCCACTTAGAATGCATTTCTATAGAGCTAAAAGTACTTTATGAATAGCTACAAAAGTGTTTTCAATTGAAAGTATTTGAGGAAACAGTCGTTGGGTGGCCCTGTCTCGTTGCCTTCTCCGCTTAGCATTACACGATATATTTTATATTTAGTATGAGCAAACTATAAATCATTAGCTTCGCTTTTAGCCCTCCTGACTAAATTTATGTAAGCGCTGTTTAGAATGCATTTTTCGATCAAAAGTACTCTGGACAGCCTCAAATGTGTTTTCAATGCATTTAGGGGGAAATCATCGTTGGGTGCTCCTGAGTTTTGAGAATAATAATAATAATAATAAAAAGATATCGCGCACATAAATTTTACTTTACGATATCTTCAGCTATATCTTCTATTCAGCTGCATAGCGTGGGCCAGATTTTGCCCTTTTCCTGGGCGGAAAATTCTCGTCCTCCTTCACCAGTTTGGACAACATATTATGGAGTAAGACTTTGTTAATCTAAGCAAATAAGTCTGGTAGAGTCAAGAACCTATGCACGCGGCTGGACGAACAATGTGACAGCAGCTGAGACAGCGAACGTTAGAAGAATTCGAACTTGAAAACCAGGCCTGCCCTGTTGAAAACTTACGGACGGTCCCGCGATCGCCTTTTGTTTTCTGGTCAAAACTAACGCAGCGAACCTTCGGTCAGTCGATTGACCTAGAAGCACTAGTACCATCCCTCCCATAGCAAGTGCTGTATTGTTGCGCGAACGCGGTCGCTAAGCTTGAGTATTCACGTCGCGTATTAAACCTGGTCGTTTGCGGTCACATCGAAGCGTAAAGGTCAACAGTGGTTGTTGATGAGCGAGCAATTATTGTGCAGTTGCGATGGGTTTTGTGGAGCAAGCGAGCCAGAAGCAGAGCACACGCTACCCGCAGATTAGCCGATGGTTATTTGGAGCGGATTCGTCGATTATCCTCGAATTTATCGCGCTTCGTGTGAAGGCGCGTGGAGATGGTCTGTTTGTTTTGTAGCCAGCCTTTAATTCTTCTTTAGTGGATAGTACCTACAATTGCAAAACTCAACAAAATGCCACTTAAACCGGTCAGGAAAGACAAGGATACGTTCAGTTGAAGGTATCTTAGCTTTGTTTTGTTATATTTTGACTTTTAGACTATTTTAGTCCATGGGAGTTTCGACGACTCATCGCATTAATTTGTCCATGTGAATATTAATATATTCATTCAGTGACACATACTATGTCTGGGTCGCCTGTGGTATTAACAATCCTGGTTCATCCAATCACGCAGTGCAGGGTATTAATGAATTGCATTGATATATGATTTCTGCCCATTTTTTCACCAACGGAAATTCTTTAAGGGGCTAATTTCCCATTTTAATTTGTAAAAAAGGTACAAACTAATCTCGTACCCAGTTTTTTCAGCATAAGACAGAGTGAGACCTGAGTTCGGGATAAGGCACACACTGTTTTCAATAAAAGGAGTTCTTATTTTCTCCAACTGCACGATGTCCTGATCACGTAAACTGCGAGGCTTCTGAAGGGGGAAATGAGAAGAAAGGCCCCCGAGGAAAAGGGACGCTCTTTATGTACCTGCGCGCATCAATTCCCACAGTTCCCTTCCCTCCTAACGCCTCCCACGTGCACGTACGCAACAAATCACGTTAGACTACGAGCTAGTTAACCAACAGCCTGCGAAAGCATCCGTTTCTCCTTCGCTCTTCGCCGCTGGGGACGTTTCGCGAGGAGAAGAGCGAAGGAGAAACGAATCTTTCGCAAGCTAGTTAACCAACACCTGATTCGCTAGACATGTAAAAAATGGTTGCAATATTGCGTGTAAGGTTTTATCGCCAACAAAAACGATCAAAGAATACATATACTTGATTTAATCTTATATTATATTCATTTTATTTATTTATAGTGTCCACAATTAGCTTTTAGCTAAATACCTTGACACTTTAATAAAGTTTATGTATGTATGTATGTAAAATACCCAAAATTAAACACTGTTGTCAACAGAGTGTAAAAACACAGTTCCTCCGCTCTTTTGGTGGATGATGTCTTAGTAGATTACTGAACAAGTCGAACAAAAAAATGCTAGATGTTAACTTTAGCGTTTTAGTCAGTAATCCATCATTCTCTTTAGTGAAAACGTGCGTCGGCTATCAACGTGCGTCAGCTAAGCTTAAGTCAAACTTTTGACTCATGCGCATGGTGTTATAATAACTCGGCCTCTTCCACCTCGGTTAAAGCAAGATTAAGAGATTAAGCTGTGATCAAGTTACCGTACGTGTTTCTCTTCACAACACGTAGCTTTCGTTGAAATCGATCGATACAAACATTGAATTTATGTTCTCATCTTCCACTGCACTCAATACAGAACCCCAAGACTTGTGTTAGAGTTTGAGGTCTGTTTTCCCAGTTTCCACTTCTCTTTCGTCTCTCGTGTAACCTCCAAATGGAAGTAAGAGGTGTTGTTGGTGTGCTTTCTATTCTATCTGTTGATATCTTCCAAGTGCTCAACTGATAACGCATCCTCTATCGCCAAGGTAAGATTGACTCAGTGAGACTAGTAAAATAGTAATTGAGAAAAATTCGACTGAATTATACATTTGCATTAAACTGTACAAATTTCCCACTGTTTCAGCGCAGTATAGAGAACATGAGTTATATGGAGTCGAAAGAAACAGTGCTTCTTCCCTTTTTTTAGATATGATTTGAATCATTGTTTATTTATCAGATTAACCACGAACGTTTACCCCACTTTAATTTTTTCATGTTCTAACATACGTAGATAGAGATAAAGATAAGTCTTCCGCTGTAATTTTTCGCTTGATCATGAATAGATTGGCGAACGCTAGTGCTACGCGCGCAAAGCACGATATTCTCACGATCCACTATCACTACCCTCCACGAAGGGGTTTATTGAAGATGAAACCTTGGAGTGATTCGATTGCAGGACCATGATAACCTAGACAACAGTGTAAATAAGGCTCATGATCGGTTATGTGTTTTAAGGGGACAACTGGCAAGTTATTGTTGCTCGAAATATCAAAAAGTCTTAACTTTTCATCAGTAGGATGCCTTAAATGTGTGCACATCTCAGTTTTTTTTACTTTTTCGGGATCATTCAGGGCAAAAGTATAAAAGTGATAGCACTTCCTAAGAAAGCGGATTCAGTATAGTTTGACTAAAATGGCATACTTTTTTAATGTCTAATTCCTTTCTTAAAACTGATGTGAACAGAACTCTAGAACCTGTTTACAAGGATCACCTGGCCTCCCCGGACGAAAAGGAGTCAATGGGCATAATGGGTTACCAGGCCGCGACGGACGAGATGGAGCTAAAGGTTAGAAGGGCGTGGCAGGTCCCCCTGGATCACGTGGTGAGAAGGGAGAAATGGGACCAAGTGGAACAGACACTGATCACAGGAACTGGAAGCAATGCGCGTGGAAGAGCGACGACGCCAGTGATATTGGACTGATCAAGGTAGATGATTTTAAAATTAGCGCCATCAACGGCTCCAGTCAACTTTGGTTTTGTTAGATACTAAGAATGTGCATTTACAAAGGATGGTATATTCTTGTCCACTGGTATCCTTACGGGATGAAAAATGTCGTTTAAGTAAACAAGAAAACCAATAATGGAGTTTTGATTTTTTGTTGCAGGATTGTTCCCTCAATAAAACCAAGGATGATACTGCCCTCCTTGTTGTTTTCCAGGGAAACTTCTATTTGACAGGATGTGGCGGCTGCTGCAAGAGATGGTTCATCACTTTTAACGGCGCCGAGTGCAGTGCTCCCCCTGCCTATTGACGCAGTGCTGTGGATCGGAAATACTGGAGAAAACAACCACAGACCCGGGTTTATCGAGGGCTACTGTAACAACATACACAAGGGCAAAATCCGAGTTGGAATCAACATTAGAAATTGTGTTGGGTATGGGAACTCCAATGGTTACACAGGCTGGAATTCAGTGTCCCGTTTGATCATTGAAAAAGTTCCTCCGTCCCAGTAGCAAGTTGGAGACCATCACGTGTTTTTTTCATGTCGCTTAAACTTTGTTGCGCATTAGTTGTTAAAGTAATCTTAAGAGGAAAAGGGATAAAAATAAGGCGCTTTTTTTTAATCACATTTCATGTCAACCAGGTCAGCTTAAAACCCTTAATATATCAAGCATGTGACTATGAAGGTATGAAGATGCCTTTTCATGTTAAATAAACATTAAAACGTCGATATTGTGTGTTGTTTTTTTTTTATCGCGATGGAATTTTTAAAATCTTGCCCACATCATGGTTCTTGCTTGCGTTAACACTCCTCTTCCATTTTCAGTGCTGCGAAGGAGTCTGGGGAGGAAGGTATTGAAACGCAACTTTTACGTCAGTTCTAAGCAAAAGTTGTTAATCGTTTGATGACAATGGCAACAATATCATAATTTTCAAGCTTTCATTCAAAGCGATTCAAAAGAAATTAATTTCTTAAAAAGCGGCTACTATTTATATATTCACTGCGCTATTTAAAACATTACAATCTGATCCAAAAAAGCATGCCTTCAATCAAAATATGGAAAATCAATTTTAGGTGACTGGACCAATCTCAGTCCTAATGGGCATTCCGCAGAAACAGTTCCCTTCGTTTATGCCCTAAATGCCATAATCGTCTTTTTTCGAAAGAAAAAAAAAACACAAAGAAACAAACGGCTAGGGTCTCCAAATAATCGATTTTTCCACGGTACCTCACACACTCATAACACCATTTGAGTAAGAACTTCTCCCCTTAAGACAATTAAAAGGAAGAAAGATGAGTGATATTCAAGTGCCTTAAACAATGTATTGTACTTAGTAAAAAAAAAAATTAGTTTGCCTTTAACCTACTGAAGTACAAAAAAACTAAGGCCCTGAAATCATGAACATTAAAATGATAAAATGTGGCAGGAAACATAACACTTGCATATTTACGTTAGTTTGTCACATACACCGATTTACGATCGATAACCAACCAAGCAGCTTATGGAAAACCAAGCGAATAGTTAACATTTTTCTTAAATTCAGTCATCGTTGATCGAAATAACTCGTACAAGTGAAACCGTTGAAACCAGCCACAACAAAAAAATATAACATGAGGAAGAGATTCCTTGACATAAAGTCGTTGATAATTATGTATTCCTGTGCACTTTTATGAGAGCTAACACAGCCCAGAAAATGGCTTATTCGATGGGCCCTATACTACTTCAATCAGCTTTCATCGCAGTGTAGGTGGAAACCGGAGTCCGGGTAGATCATTGATCGAGATGCAGGTTCTCTTCAATTACCTTGTCTACATCACGTCATAGTTATAACTGCAACTAAAGCAATGAAAGGTTTGTGTATGTTTTGTTATACACGGATGACTAAAATGCCTTAATACTAGATAATACCACGCCTCGAGAAATATTGCAGCCAGCTGCAGATAGAAAAGTGAACAAAAGTCTGATAAAAGACGGTTTCTTTAAATTCAAGTGATATAAAGTTTTTTTTACTAGAATTAAATTTTATCGAAACCTATAAAACTTTCCTGAAAGAAAAATCCAATGTTTACTAGACTTAAAGTAAATCAGAATTGATTGCTTGTTGAACTAATACTGCAGGAAAACCTACCGCGGGCAGCCTCTCCTACTAGGAGTACAAGACTAGAAGACGCCAAACTTTGTTCAAGGAGTGTAAGCTAAAGAATGTCTGTCAAAGGCGTTAGCCCTGCGTGAGCTCTGAATGCTGCGTAGGTTAGGTATACAGCTATTTCGAGAAAGTTTGTCGGAAAAGTGCATGCCACAATCCCGAAAGGCATTGTGGGTGGTTTTGAGTTCACTGTTTTTCAAAGAAATTTGAAAGAATGACACGAGAGGCCATGGACATGTGTTTGAGAGTGCTAAAGGAAAGCAGCATAGAAGATTCGACAGCTACAGTGTCAGGAACAGCGTATTGACCAATCATATCCCATATTACCTTTCGGGATTGTCGCAGGCACATTTTTTTCGACAACCTTTCTCGAAATAGCTGTAAATGTCAAGCGCGCTAGTGTTTTTCTCCTCTGATTTCCTTAAACTCTGCTGACACAGAACCCAAACACGTGCTTTCAAGGATCGCCTGGCCTCCCTGGACGTAACGAAGTCAATGGACATAACGGGTTACCAGGCCGCGAAGGCCGAGATGGTGCTAAAGGTGAAAACTGCGTGGTAGGTCCCCCTGGACCAGGCCGTGAGAAAGGAGAAATGGGACCAAGTGGAACAGCCACTGATCACAGAAACTGGAAACAGTGCGCGTGGAAGAACAGCGACGGTCGTGACACGTGTTAAAGATCAGAAGACCTGTTTACAAGCGATTATTCAAATCGCGTGCTATGTGCTACCAAAAAGGCGATGTTAACCAAACGTGTCAAACAGTCAGTCGGTTCTGGCCAATAGGAGCTTGCATCAGAATCTGAGTGCACAGCGGGTGCCGTGGAACAGCGATCCCAAAGGTTTGTCTACAGGCTCTTCCCCTTTCTATTCCCCGGCGATTTTTTCACCCTTTCCCCAATGAGAGAGCCTGTTCTTAGGCTAGCAAATTAAACAGCAATGCGTTCGACTGGGCTCATATGAATAAGCCTTACTTACACTCGTACATCAAAATATTTGCTCAAGACTAGTTGAGGTCACTTCCATGAATATCTTGCTCACGGTGCAAAAAATTTAATTACACAACTGTATTGTATTTCTATAATATCATTGACACTTCTATTAAACAAAGCGAACAAAGTCAAAATATGGCAGATTTATCGGCTGGTTATGATCACAAACAAGAAAATATTCGCAGTAATTAATTCACCGAAATGCTACTTGGCCTTTGTTTTTCATCGTAGTTCAGTTGACCAAAAAAAACCTTTTTAACTCAGTTTTCTATCCATTTCAGTTTTTCGCGATAACTGAAGGCTATCTATTTCATGTTTCATGGAGGTGTTCACGAACTGCGAGAGGAGCCCATAACCGACTGCGAACATTATTTGTAACCGCTGTAGTTACTCTTCAATGAGGTAAGTCAACAATGGACACTGTGATTAATAGTTCGATTACAGACGAGTGTAGTGAGATCAATCCTGCATGTGTATTCAAATCATGCTTCAGTACGGTGTATTGATAAATTGTATTGACAGGAATGCTTTCCTGCTCACTTTCCCTCCAACAAATGACGTGCTGATATCATCGAGACAGCTAGAGTTAATCGACAGATTTCATAGAAGAAACATCGCGTTTGAGTCACAACTTCCACAACGGGAGCCGCCTTCGTTAATTCCTACAGTGCCAAAATCATGAGTTTTAATAAGCGCGTACAGCTCGAAAACTAAACTTAAGAAAATTAAGGAATCGATTCATAGGCCACTTGTATCCCTCAATTCAACAGCTGTTGTCCAGAGAGTGGAGTATGATGATTTGAAACTGCTCTTGAAAGATTCAGCGTCCGTTTAAAATTTATGCCCTGATTTGCTCGTTTATATGTCGTCGATCATTCCAAGACGGAATTTGAGGTACTAAATATTATCCAATGAACAGGGTGTCTAGGATCGAATGTAATTGAAAACCGCGCAAAAGATGTGTTTGTTATCACCAGAATTCTTCTGGTAGAGGCTTGGGTCTTGATAAAAATTACCATACTCAGTATATATGTTACAGGTCAAAACAAAAACCAGGTTAAAAATTTTTTGCCTAGGTTGATTCTCAATTTCTTTTGTCTCCCAGCCATGAATAATTAGGAATAGGAGACAAAGAAATTGAGAGCCAACCTAGTTTAAACAATTTAACCTGAATTTTATTTTGATCTGTAACATATATAACAAGCTGCTTATATATTACGATAGAAAAGAGACTTGAACTCTGACTGATGAGGAAAAATCGCTCAAAATCTATTTATAATTAATATCTAATGGTTCCTTAAAGCTCTTGGAGAATGAGGTGATGTATTTGCTGTTCAATGGTCATTCTGTGCAATAACGATCTATCTGTTTGTGTTGCTTCGATTATTAACAATTTCCCCAGAAGCAACATTCCTTTGAATAGATCAAAACGCTGAGAAACAGGACCACAATGTTGAAGTTCATTTTTTTATTTAACGTGCGCTTTGCAGTCCGCAATAGTTACATGCTTAGCGCAAGCATCCGTGACTTGAGGCCTCGGAAATTGATCCACGAAGAAAGATTATTGCCCAAATCAACGATAAGAAAAAATAAAGTTCACTTTCGGCCAGTTTTGATTACCTTTTTGAGAAAACATGATTGTATCCATTTCATGACGAAAACTCTATTTGGGAGCTAGACTTCACTTTCTGCGCTCAGGAAAAGTTAAACTTATCAATACTGAAATAACTTAAGGTTGAACTGTTGATAGGAGACAATTCTGTCATGGTAAAGTAGGGGTCAGCGGTGTTCCGCGTGGGCCGTGTTGTATTGTATGAAGATGGCCGCATGTGCTCTGAGAATAAAGTGTTGTGTTCTCGAAAGCTGTTGTTCCTTTGATGGAAGCTTCCCCAGCCGGTCAACATGGTGTCAGAAGTAGACGAACACGCGCCTCAAGTCAGGAAGTTTCGTCCATAGTACAGTTTATGTTTGAGAACGAACTGTGGGAGTTGTACGAATCGTTCCCGCCATTTTCGGATGTTATCAAGCTGGTGCCCGTATAAATTGTTTGTGTTTGCTGTTATCATGACCACCGCTCCAGTGGGTTTTCCTGTCCCTCAAATGCAAGAGGGACTAGATGAGCGAGAAGCTCTAGACTGTTTCATATTGGATTATCTTGATTATTGCACGGT